GGATGGTACCAGCGCTTTGGAAAAATATTTGGCAGAATCCCCTAATGCTGGACATATGCATACTCTGACCCACATATTCTACTCCGAGGTACATACACCCAAGAGGTACGTGCGCATGTGTGTCCCAAAGACATATACAATGGCCCCCAGTTATCCCTGGTCTTCACTGTCTGTGTCATCCCCACCGCTGGCGTGTGGGTGGGACCCGCGCTTACTTCTAACCAATAGAATGCTGCAAAGGTGATGGGATGTGGTCTCTGTGGTTACGTTGCATGAAGTCGTGGCTTCCATCTTGCCAGGAGATCCTCTCCATTGACTCTCACTGGCTATGCTGAAGCAAGCCGCTTTACGGAGTGGCCCCCATGGCAAGAAACAGAGGGGGCCTCCGGCTAACAGCCAGTGAGGAGCTGAGGCCCCCCACCGTCTAACAACCCTCAGGAACTGGATCTTCCCAAGAACCCCACAAACTTCAAAGTGGATCGGTTCCCAGCCGAGCCTCCGATGAAACCCCAGCCCTGGCGAACGCCTTGGCTGCAGCCTGTGAGAGACCCTGAGCAGAGGACCCAGGCAAGCAAGGCTGGGCTTCCCGACTCACAGAAACTGTGTAGACGACAAGTGTACGTTGTTTTGAGGCACTAAGTTTGTCATAATTTGTTAGGCAGGAATAGATAACTAAAACGAGTGCAACACAGGAGCAAGAATGGATGAATCAGCTACATCAAACGACGTGGCTGACCTCACAAACATAATGTTAATCGAAAGAAACTGGGCAGAAAGTGGCATCTGTATGATTCCATTGATGTGAGGCTCGACAACAAGCAGAAGTGTCCTCCGACACCAGAGGTCAGAGGGGCGGGTGGGGGCTAGCAGAAGGGAGCACAGGGAGATTTCTGGGGGCCGGTGACATTCTGTGTCCTGATCTGGGTTCTGGCTAGGTGCGTGCAGACACCTGGAGAAAAGTCTTCAAGGGTACACTTACGATGTGTGCACTTTTCCATAGTGTGTTACTTTTTGATTAAAAGTTTACGAAAAATACAGTGCTCAGGAGTTCAACAGCCAGGGTTCAAATCCTGAACCCACCACTTACCAGATCGGTAACTGCGCAAGTTCCTTGACTTTTCTGTGCCTCAGTTCCTCCTTCTGTAAAAGGGGGTGGGCTAAGAATTAAGTAAAACTGTGCACGGCATGGTGGCTCGCACCTAACAGGCTTTGACAAATATTAGCTGGTTTTGTTAAACACATTCATAAAGGTTCATTGTAACTCGCAAGAAAATAGTGAAGGTTTGTTCGCCCAGATGCCTGGAGGTAGAATTTATGGAGTTGTCCAAGAGGTACCAAGCCAGAGAGACCTCTGAGTTCTCAGGAGTCCCCTCTGGGGGTCCCCAGGGGAGGGAGATCATTCTGTCTCTGACATCAACACCCAGAAAGGGCCCAGAGCAACCGGCGAGATGACACAGGACTGTTCAGAGGTCAAGTTTGCTCCGGGTTGGGACTGAGTCTTGATGAAAATCCAAGTTGTCCCCAGGGTGAAAACTGGACGGCCACGTGCAAAAGAATAAAACTAGACCACTATCTTACACCATACACAAAAATCAACTCAAAATGGGTTAAAGACTTGAACGTAAAAGCTGAAACCATACAATTCCTCGAAGAAAACATAGGTAGTAAGCCACTGGACATCGGTCTTAGGGATGTCTTTGTGGGTCTGACTCCAAAGGCAAAAGAAAAAAAAAGGCAAAAATAAACAAATCTAAACTACATCAAACTAAAAAGCTTCTGCACAATGAAGAAAACCATCAACAAAATGAAAAGCCAACCTGCTGAGTGGGAGAAGATATTTGCAAGTCGTATATCCAACAAAGGGTTAATATCCAAAATATATCAAGAACTCACACAACTCAACAATAAAAAACAACCTGATTAAGGGGGCTGGCCTGGTTGCCTAGTGGTTAAGTTCGCACACTCTGCTTTGGCATCCCAGGGTTTGCAGGTTCAGGTCCCGGGCGCAAACCTAGCACCGATCATCAAGCCATGCTGTGGCAGCATCCCACATAAACACAGGAAGATTGGCATAGATGTTAGCTCAGCAACGGTCTTCCTCAAGCAAAGAGGAAGATTGGCAACAGACGTTAGCTCAGGGACAGTCTTCCTCACAACAACAACAACAACAACAAAAAAACCCAACCTGATTAAAAAATGGGCCAAGGACCCTGAATAGACATTTTTCCAGAGAAGATATACCGATGGCCAAGAGGTACAGGAAAAGATATTCAACATGACTGTTAGGGAAATGCAAATCAAAACCACAATGAGATATCACCTCACACCTGTGAGAATGGCTATTATCAAAAAGACAAGAAACAACAAGTGTGAGAGAAGACATGGAAAAAAGGGAACCCTTGTACACTGTTGGTGAGAATGTAAACTGACACAGCCACTATGCAAAACAGGAGATTCCTCAAAAAATTAAGAATAAAACTACCATATGATCCAGCTATTCCACTTTTGGGTATTTATCCAAAGACTACAAAGACACTACTTTGAAAAAATACATGCACCCCTATGTTGATTGCAGCATTATCTGCAATAGCCAAGATATGGAAGCAACCTAAGCATCCACTGATGGATAAATGGATAGAGAAGATGCGGTGTATATATACACAATGGAATACCACTCAGCCATAAGAAGAATGCAGTCTTGCCATTTGTGTCCACATGGATGGGCCTTGAGGGTATTATGCTAAGTGAAATAAGTCAGAGGGAGAAAGACAATGCCATATGATTTCACTCATATGTATAATCTAAAAAACAAAACAAAACGAATGAACAAGCAAAACAAAAACAAACCGACAGATACAGAGAACAGAGGGGCGGCTACCAGAGGGGAAGGGGGCTGGGGGTGCGCAAAATGGCTGAAGGGGGTCAAGCGTATGGTGATGGACAGTGACTGGACTCGGTGGTGATCACTTTCTAGTGCATGATGTCAAATTATCATGTGGTCCATCTGAAACTTACGTGATATGCCAATTTTATCTAAAAAAAATAGTTAAAGTGGTAAATTTTATATGTATTTTACCATAATTTAAAAAATTGGAAATAAAAAAAGTTTTCCCCAGGGTGTTTGTGACCCTGTGGAGATTGGGCAGTCCTCCTATGTCATCAGAAAAACAACAACAACAACAACAACAGATAATAATAATTGCAAACCCTCACAGAGTGATTCTCCTGTGCCGGGCACGCATATTAACCCACTGAATCCTCACAGCAATGCTGTGACCATGCCCATTTTCCAGGTGAGAGAACTGAGGCACAGACAGAATAAAGCAAACCAGCAGGCCGACCAGAGGTGGTCGGCACACCTTGTCCACAGTTTTCAAACAGACCGTACACAGCGACCCCCCTGGCAAAGCCCAGGGAACCGAAGGGAACTGTCTGCAAGAGGCTGAGCGTCAGGAGAAATGAATGCCCCCAACCAGCAATACAGGAGCCCATTTGAGAAAAACCTGGGTATTTTCTCATTTTCTGGCAGGGGAAGGGAGTGAGGAAAGCTGTAGAAAGGCTCAGTTACCGGTGGTTCTTTCCATGGTTTGAAATTATGTTTGTGAGTGTGTGTGTGTGTGTGTGTGTGTGTGTAAAAACCCATACTTCCTAAGCCTGTGGGGTCAGCTCATGAGCGGGCTGTGGAACCTCTCAAGGGCCCTCTGCTCTCCCATCTGGCATCCTACTCAACAGCCTGGCGACTTCCTGCTGGTCAAGCTCTCTCTCTCTTGCTCTTACTCCTGTTCCTCTCTTTCTCTAGACCTCTCTTACCATACAGAGGCCCGCGAAGCCTCCCCACCTCTCCCAGGGCTGAGCTGGGCCCGAGGCCAGCATTCACTCCATGTTGGAACGCAAGGGGCAACAGGAAACCAACAGGCAGGCCTGGGGAGGGGGCGCAAGGGGCATGCTCGCCCCAATCAAGGACGGCCCAGGGGAGGTCGGGGAGGAAGCCCAGTGTCTGGCTGGCGAGCTGGGTGGCAGCCTGAGCTGCCCTCTCCTGGCCTAGGCCCCCTTTCCCTCCATGCCTCAGGCACAGCCAGGCCTTCAGGACAGACAGCAGCCCAGCCTGTTCAGAGATGAAGGAGAGCAGGTGGTGAGCCTGTGTCATCTTGTGGTTGTCACAGCTGTCACCTGTAGCCCTTTGGGGAAATACCTTCCCTGTCACACTCACCTAGATTCAAATCCTGCCATATTTTCTAGCTGTGCCACCTTGAGCACATTCCTCCGTGTCTCTGAGCTTTCTATTCCTGCTAAAATGGGAGTGATTTAATACAAAGAATGATCATTGCTGACATTTTGAGTTGGGCTTCTCAGGAGTGCCCATGAGTGGGGTGCTTCTTAAGGACAGTGACGGATCCAGGTCAACTCTGGGGCCGCTGTCTGACACTTAGAGGGACTCACGGGGTGTTTGTAGAGATAAAGAACAAATGAATGAATAAACGTGGGTTTCCACAGGGAAGGACAGGAACAGGAGGGTTGTGGGTTTGGAAGTATCCTTTCCCCAGCACATGGACGAAACCCTCATTCTTTCAAAATTGTTCCTTCCAGCCCATCCCCACCCCAACCCCCAGAAGTGGTGGTCCCCCCAGCGACCTCTATTTTCTGCAACAGAGAGGACTAGAGATTTGGGTGGGGCGGGGGGAATAACCTCCAAGCTTCTCTCAGTTCAGCTCCATCCCCCTCCCACCCATCCCCACCCCCTCCACGCACCCAGCCCAGAGCAAGGTGTAGCAGGAAGGATTCTCCTCGCTGCAAACCCTCGGGCTACTTCTGTGACCCCCGAGCCTCTGTTTCCCGCTCTCTGAGATGGTGCTGGGAACCCCTAGGTAGCAGGGCGGGGGACCCCTCAAGGCGCTGCTGCGGGGCGTCCTCCGCTCGGGTGCCCCCCCGCGCGCCGCCCCGCAGGCCACGCCCCCGCAGCTCCGCCGGCCGGCGGCGTTGCCATGGCGACGCGCGTACACAGGCCGGGCGGGCGCGCGGGGTGCGGGCCGCGGGCTGGAGACTCCGCGGGAGCGCGGCCGGGCGGCCACGGCCCCGAGCGGGCCCCGCGCCTCCTGAGCCGACCTGGCTCTCGGCGGAGGACCGAGCGTGGGCTTCTTCCTCCAGCCAGGTGAGCGCGGCGCGGGAGGAGGCGGCGGCGCGTCCCTGGGGCCGGATGCGGCCGGCCCTGCGAGGTCCAGGGCTGGCGGGGAGCCGGGGGACCGGCCCCATCCCGAGCCGGGCTCCGGTCTCCAGGAGCACCCCAGAGGAGGGCCCCATACCAGCCCTTCCTTCGTAAGCGCAGAACCCCCAAGGAACTTTAGGCTCCTCCTTGGCACCAGCCGCTCCCACTCGCGGATGTCCTGTGGACCCCAGCTGGTCCAGCTGGATTAGGAGGGGCGCTCCCTGGTTCCCCCGATTTACAGACAACACCACCCGGTGGTCCGAGATCCCCCATACCTGACCTCCCTTCTCTAAGGAACTTCTCCAGCTCCCAGGCCACTGAAGACCTTGTAGCCTTCAAAAGAAATTGTGCTCCTATAGCCCCATTCTGAGCCCTCTGAGGGGGGACGCAGATGACGGACGCTCTTCTCTTTACTGTGACTGCGCTCTATGGCGCTGAATAAGAACGAATTTACGGTTTAACACAGTCAAATTCCTTTCTACAGTGTTCTCAGGCAGGGGAGTGACTGCACAGGCAAGATTAAGGTGGGGAAATAATTGGCCAACCCAAAAGCTAAAAAGATAGAATTTAGATTTTCCAAGAAGTCATCTAGGATGGATAATGAAGGGAAAAATGAAACCTAGTTACTGTCAAGGATTCCTAGCCAGAGGGCTGCGCTGGCTCGCTTTGAGGTGTCATTTTGTATTTTCACTCCTTCAGCAAGCGTTTGCTGAGCACCTGTCTCAGGTGCTGCTCCGGGCGCTGGAGGTGGGGCAATGAGCAAAACTGTCGGGAACTGAAAGGGTCTGAGGTTTTATCCTGCTTGCAAGCTAATCAGTTAGCCTGGCCAGCTTATAGATGCTGGCAGAAGACAAGGACTCCTGGGCCAGAGACAAAGGACTTTATTACTCACAGCAGAGTGGGCACAACAGGCAAGCAGAGCTTCATGTCCTCACTGATTCCCCTTGCCGCAAGTCCCTCGCTGTGGTACCCAATAGCCCAGGTGAATGCTGTGCACGCAGTGGGTCTGTGTCCCAGCTAAAGAACCCCAACCCTAGGAAACCCCAATCTCTGAAGGGGCTTGCTAGCAAACCTGCCCAACTTTTGCCTCAGAAGGAGCCGTTATCTTTATAATCAACGTTACCTGTATCCTCCCAGGCTGTTTGCCATCTAAACATCCTTGGAAATATAGTGCAGGACAAAATCGTCCGTGCCTTTGCTCTGAAGTTGGGACGAACACAAGATACTCACGAAAAATTGTCTCTTAACAAAAACAACACAGTTCTGGCTCTCCGGGAACATATGTCTTAGAGAAAGGGAAACAGCAAACACAACTAAATAAAGGAACAAGAAAATGTCAGAACGATTAGTACAAGGAAAGAAACCCAGCAGGGAGATAAGCTAGCAAGTTGAATGACAGGAGGACGCCTTCAGCCAGGGTGCTTGCGTGGTTACCACAAGGGGGACAGCTGAGCAGAGAGAGGGCACCAGCCTTGGGGACATCTCGGGTGAGAGCTAAAAAACAAATACATGCATGATCCAAGTTTTGGGTTTTAGTCTAGTGACATTTCCTGTGGTTTTCCTTAGAAGAGACATTTCTCAAAAGTTTACATTCTAGATTAACTAGTCCTGAGTGTGTTGCTTGATCATGTGTTCCTCTGCAATTGAAGATTAATAACTAAAGTGATTTGATGGCCACAGAGCATGGTTCTTTTGGACAAGGAAATGTCATTTCCCCCATATTAATGACAGTGAACTTAATAAAATTTATGTCTCATTATATGAAAGCATCAATATTTGTGAGGCATTCGTAGGCCTCAGAGTTTGCAAATATAAAATAAACTATCTGGCTTATTTTTATTTCTCTTCCCCCCAGGTAGGGTCTTTGCTTCCTTTCAGATGATAGAATCCTGGTGTTAAGGACTGTTTTTTATTGCATGTCCCAAGTGTCAACACACAGTAACCCCTCACGCTCCGCTCCAGCCCACCCAGCAACAATACAGATCTAGGGGGAGCTGCTGGAGCGTCCTGCAGTGGTTGCATGCAAAGGCTCGGAGTTCTTTCCCTCACACTTACTGCTGTGTGACCTTAACCCCTCAGAGTCTCAGTTTCCCCATCTGTAAGGTGGTCCTGAAGATGAAGAGAGGCAGTGTGTGTAAAAGGGTAGCCCAGCGCCTGGCACTTAGTAGGGATTCAATAAGTGATGGTGGGGGTGTTGATGAAAAGCAGAACCAGACCAGAGACCACATATGGCCACAGCTGGAGGACTTTTGTTTTTATCCACAGTCGAACAACTCCGCATTTCAGTGACCTTTCAGTTGAAGAGAAAAGGGAGGGACTTTCGTTCTCTGACATGGCCTTGAGATGGCGGATGTCACACTGTGTAATTGGACATATCTCAAATCAGAATTCAAGCATCCTAGGAATCATCATCAACATTTTGGAACCTACTGAAGTCACTGAAATTTTTATGTTTTAAAAAACATGTATAGAATTTGCTTTGAAATGCATCAAAATATAAAATGGATGAATGAATCAGTGGATAGATAGGTGATCAAGCAAATATAGCAAAACGTCAATTGTAGAATCTAGGTGGGGGGTATCTAGGAGTTCACCATCCACTTCTTTCAACTCTTCTGGGTGTTTGACATTTTCGTAATAAAATGTTGGGGAAAAATCTGTGCCGAGTCCTGATCATATGGCCAAGCTATAATCTTGATCCTTTGCCTTTAGAAAACATCCCTTTTTTCTAAGTCTAGGATGAAATGGAGTCATTTACAAAGAAAGCATCATTTAAAGTCTATTTCCTCGACGACTGACTCGGCACTTTAAGAAGCTCTGTCAAGGCTTGGAGTTCCTTGGATCAGAGTTTGAGAAGCCCAAGATTAATAACAATAATAACAGTATAAGTTCAAATATGTGTTTATGTGTAGCAGTTACCATTCTAAATGCTTCACACGTTACTGCATTTAATTCTCACAGAACCCTTTGAGTTACAGAGTATTATTGACCCCATTTTACAGATGAGGAAACTGAGGCATAGAGAGAGAATAAGTAACTCATCCAAGGTCACAAGCTAATAAGTGGTGGATGAGGAATATTGAATGTGAATCCTTGTTATTTCAGGTAATTGATCTCATGCTAAGCTTAATGGGGAGGCGGAGAGCAACTGTCAGTGGAAATCAGATTTGTTGTTGGGTTGTTTTAGCTGTTGTTTGTTTGTGTTTTTGGTTACGTGAAAAATGTCTTCTATTTTATTATCAGCACCAAGCTCATCTATGCTGGAAAGCACTATTAAAAAGAGAATCTTAAAAATACGCAGAATTGTAGCTGCGATCATCATCCTTCAGTCCATCTCCCCCTCCTCCTGCTGGTTTCTCCTTTGGACCTCACCACGTGTTTCATTCATTCTAAATGTGATGTTGTTGAATGATTAAAGGACTCCATTTTTCTAACGAAGTTTTTTCTGCAAACCTCATATAGGGAAAGCAGAGAGTATGAAAGCCTATCTAAAGAGCGCAGAAGGCTTTTTTGTCCTGAATAAAAGTACTACTATTGGCACACATGAGGACTCAGACCTTGTGTTAGAGGTAAGAACTCTTCCTGCCCAGTCCCCCCCTCACCCCGGCCGGACATCCTCACTGGCCAGTGGACGCAAATCTCTTAATACTGTACAGCCGCATCTTTCCTTGATGTGCCACCAGTAACCCACGTGCCGAACGTCCTGGGTTTCCCTGGCATACTTAGTGAAAATGAGCATGATGCGAAGTGCCATGCGCCCTCTGTCCTTGCTGACCGGGTCTGCGGACGTCCTGCCCATCGTCCCCTCCCTGGCAGCCTGATGGGGCGGTTTGGAAGGTGGGCTTAGAGCTGCGCCTTCCCCTGCTCTGGGCCTGACAGCCAGGCCACCAGAAGTGCTCGGCTGGGGCCTCTCGCCCTTTCCTGAGCTTCTGGAGACTGCTGCCGGCCCAGCGGTCTCCCAGCCCGTGAGTCAGGGTAAGCAGCGTTCTCCCATCTCATTTCACTCTCTGGATTAGCTGTGGTTTGTCCAGAGCCTCAGCGCACTGACAGCCAAGAAAGTTGGAAGAAAGAAAGGAATAAGAGAAACAGTGGCTTTGAGCCTGTTCAAAACTGAAGGGGGTTAAAATATTGAAGCAGAAAGAGAAATGCAGTGGAATCTCTCCATAACTGTGAAAGCCAGGCCTCAGACCTCACTCAACAGATTTTTTTTTAACTTTTTATTTTGAAATAATTATAGTCATCAGAAGTTCCAAAAATAGAGAAAGAGAATGGTACAAAGTGTGCGTATGGTTCTATGCCGTTTTGTCACGAGTGGACTCGTGTGCAGCCATGAAGACAGAGAACTATTCCGTCATCAGAGACCTCCCTGGGGTTTAACTTTATATTCACGATACCTCCTCGCACCACCCTCCCTAAACCAGACAACCACTAATCTCTTCTCCGTTTCTATCATTTTTATCATTTGGGGAATGTTATATAAGTGGAGTCATACGTTATGTGACCTTTTGAGATTGTTTTTTTTTCACTCGACATGATGCCCTTGAGATCCATTCAAGTTGTCAGCCTGTTCCTTTTCATTGCTGAGTAATATTCCGTGGTACAGATGTACCACCATATGTTTAACCATTCATGTACTGAAGGACATTGTTATTGTTTCCAGTTTGGGGCTGTTGCAGATAAACATTCATGTCCAGGTTTTTGTGCGAACATACATTTTTATTTCTCAGATAAATGGTCAGGAGTGTGATTGCTGGATCCTATGGTAAGCATACATTTGATTTCTAAACCAACTTATCCCGAGTGGCTGTACCATTTTATGTTCTCACCAGTGATGTATGAGACACAGTTTCTCTGCATCCTTACCAGCAATTAGTATTATCGCTGTGTTTTATTTTGGCTGTTTTAAGTGTGTAGTGATGTCTCATCATGGTCTTAATTTGCGTTTCCTGAGTGGCTAGTGATGTTGAACGTCTTTTCCTGGACTTATCTGCCTTCAGCACATCCTCTTTGGTGAAATATGTCTTCATGTCTTTCGCCCATTTCTAACTGGATTATTTGGGTTTTTTAACTATTGAGTTTCACAAGTTCTTTATATATTTTAGATACGAGTCCTTTGTCAGATATATGGTTTGCAAATATTTTCTCCTGTCCGTAGCTTATCTTTTCATTCTCTTAACAGAGTATTTCACAGACAAAAGTTTTAGGTTTTGATAAAGCCCAGTTTATCATGTTTTTATTTTAGAGATCACACTTTTAGTGTCATGTCTGAGAACACATTGCCAAGTCTTGATCCCGAGTATTTTCTCTTACGTTTCCTAAAAGTTTTAACTTTATGTTTAAATCTATGAATCGTTTTGAGTCTATTTTCGTATATGATGGGAGGTTTAGGTTCATCTTTATTGCATGTGGATATCCAGTCACTCCAGAACCATTTGTTGAAAAGACTGGCTGTTCTCCATTGAATTGTTTTTGCAACTTTATCAAAAATCGTCTGGCCATGCTCGCGTAGGGACCATTCCTGAGTCCCCGTCATGTTTCACTGATCTGTGTGTCTGTCTCTCTGCTGAAATGACAGGCTTTGTTTCTGTAGCTGTTTAAGTCTTCAATGCTGTAGTGATTTCTCCCGCTTTATTCTTCCTTTAAAAAAATGTGTCTTTTTAACCTTTTTAGTTCTTTTGCCATTCCATGTTAATTTTAGTATAAGTCTGTCTGTATATCCAAAGTATCTTGCTGGAATTTTGATAGGAATTGTGTTTAAACCTGTCTATCAGTGTGAGAAGCATTTATGTCGTTACCATGTTGTCTTCCATCCGTGGACATGGTGTATTTCTCCGTTTTCTCAGGTGGTCTTCGGTTTCTTTCATGAGTGTTCCACAGTTTTCAGCGTATAGGTCTTGTGCATGTTTTGTTAGATTTACACTTAAGTTTTGTCTCTCTCTTTTTTTTTGAGTGATTGTAAATGGTATTATATTTTTGATTTCTGTGGCGACATGTTCATTGACAGTATATAGAAATACAATTGATTTTTGTCTGCCTATATGGTATCTTACAACCATAACTGAACTTTCTAGATTTTTGATAGATTTCTTGGTATTTTATACATAAACAATCATGTCATCAGTAAATAGGAACAGTTTTATTTCTCCTTTTCTGATCTGAATGCCTTTAATTTCCTGTTCTCGCTTTATTGCAATGGCTAGGATTGCCAGTACCCTGTTGGATAAGAGTGGTGGGAGCAATATGAATCTTTGTATTTGCTTGTTCCTGATCATAGGGGGAAAGGAGTTAGTCTTTCACCATTAAGTGTGATGTTAACTGTGGGTTTTTTGTAGATGTTCTTATCAAGTTAAGAAATTCCCCCTTTATTCCTAGTTTTCTGAGAGTGTTTATCATAAACGCAACAGATTTAAAAATAACCCAATGGACCTCCCCTTGAGATTCTCATCCATAACATGGTCTCCCTACAAGGACACAGAAAATCTATTCAATCACGAAGTGGGGGAAAGAAAACAAAAAGAAAATATTGTAGTTTCTTCTATATCATAACCAGAGATAGATTTTAGGTAGTTTTCTTTTCTGTCTGGTCAAAGTAGAGACAGAGATGTTGGTTTTGAACCTGACCGTGATATTAGAAAGCTATAGTAATTTTTTCCCCCAAAATATGCTGACACACGCTCCACCCCTGTTGGGCTGGGTCCCAGGAGATCCGTGTTCTGGGACCAGCGTGTGCAGCCGTTCACCATGTGACATGGGACAAGTCCCTCCCTGGGGGCTTCTTACAAGCTGTCAAATGGACTGTCTACCCCTAAGGTTTGTAGCGAGGGTCAGAAAGCTGAGGACACGCTTTGTAAACTGGTATGTGAGGTGCCACTGTCTCTCGTAAGTGATCACCTGCTGCACCTGCTGGGCTAGGGGGACAGAGTGCTCGCCCCTTCCTGAAAGAGCTTTTCCTTCTCGCAGATAAGATGCAAGAGGGCAGCACTGAGGGCCTTGCTGGGCACCAGGAGGGGCTGCAGAACAGACTGGGGGTGGGAGGCATTGGGAGCTGGGTTGTTTTTTTTTTAATTCAAGTTCATAATAGTTTACATCATTGTGAAATTTCAGTTGTATCTTATTTCTTGTCTGTCGCCACATAGGTGCTCCCCTTCACTCCTTGTGCCCACCCCTCAGTCCCCTTCCCCTGGTAACCACTGAACTGTTTACTTTGTCCATGTGTTTGTTCATATTCCACATACGAGTGAAATCATCTGGTGTTTGTCTTTCTCAGTCTGGCTTATTTCCCTTAGCATAATTCCCTCCAGGTCCATCCATGTTGTTGCAAGTGGGATGAATTTGTGTTTTTTATGGCTGAATAGTATTCCACATCTTCACCCAGTCATCAGTCAGTGGGCACTTGGGTTGCCTCCATGTCTTGGCTATTGTGAATAGTGCTGCAATGAACACAGAGGTGCATATGTTACTTTGGATTGTTGATTTCAAGCTGTTTGGATAGATACCCAGGAGTGGGATGGCGGGGTCGTGGGTAGTTCTGTTTTTAGTTTTTTGAGGAACCTCCACACTGTGAGAAACTAGAGTAACTTTTCAAAGCACGGGCTTTGGAGACAGACAGACCTGGGTTAAATCTCATTGGGCCACTTTCTGGCTGTGTGACTTCAAGGGAATTCTTTCATCACTCTGAGCCCATTGTCCCCATCCATAAACCACTTCCCTCGCAGGGTGTTTGTGAGGGTTAAGTGAGAAATGCACTTGGCTGGCTGTGGTGCGAAGTAAATGACGCCGTGATCGTTCTTACGGCCTGGTGAAATGGCGACTGAGAAGAACCCTCAGAGGGGCACAGGGTTGCGATGAGGAGCTGCTCATGTTAACAAGCTGTTTGGAAAAGGGACTAATGAGGACAGTTGTTATATAGACAGAGAGTGAGTCGCGTTCATTGTATGAAAGTAATTGACTGTTTACTGCTCCTGGGACTGAGTTTAAGAAGTCAGTCACCACTGCCAGCAGCAGTCGCATTGATTTATGAAGGAATCAGCTACATTTCCAGAAGTACGAGCTTCTCCTGGCTCCCTAGAGAACAGATGATACATGAATTGTCAGATATTTTGTGAATAGAGTTTTGATGGATGCTTCTATCTTCTCTTAAACAAATTCTCTTCCTGAAGCGTAAATGAATCTGGGAGAGAAGATTCGTTTTAAAATAGGGTGTGAGGACACAGGTCCATTTTGAAGAATTGAAACCTGCAGACATGCCAACATTTTCCAGTTTTACAAAACAAGACGAGGTGGAATGGTCCCTCTGCTGACCTCAGGGGGCCTTTCTGATCCGAAGAGTCATCCTTGATCAGCTGTGGACCACCCTGAGGAATAATTCAACTGTCAATTTATAGTTTATGTTATTTGTGCTACTAGAAGTCATTCCACTAAATAAAGTTCAGAAAACTGTATTAATAAAAAGCCATCCTTGAAATTACCCGGAGGTTCCATCTAGCAGGTGAATCCTCAAGAATAGACAGTCACGCTTCTAAAGATTCCTGCTCATTTGCAAGGCTGACATGTTGTTTTCATTGTCGAT